AAAGAAAGAAAGAAAGAAAGAAAGAAAGAAAGAAAGAAAGAAAGAAGAAACCACCCTACTGAGGGCTGCAGAATCATGCAGCCTTTAATGTTTCAGATTGGTGACCCTTCCTAGACCCAACTGATGCTTCTTATTGTATCTACAGTACATGAGTTTCAGTCCCAAAGAATGCTCCTTCTCCCCAGGAGCCCAACCTTCAATTCTGGATGAATACTTCTGCACCCTTTCAATCTTTGTTCCTCAACATCAGTGGTGGTATTCAGCCGGTTCACACCAGATTTGGTGAACTGGTAGCAAGAATTTGGTGTGGGTCACCGAACCGGTAGTAAGTTCTGGCTGGCCACGCCCACCACCTGGTTGCCCTCCCGCCTAATGCTCGCTCACCCTACCCTCCTGCCTGACATTCACCTAAGGTATTTCTTTCTTTCCCCCCCCCTCCCGACAATCAGCTGTAGATAAGATCAGCTGTGTTGGAATTCCCCTTGCTGAGGCCCAGGAAGGCAAAAATGGAGGGAGGAGCTCAGCTCCCCCTCCATTTTTTGCCTTCCAGAGCCTCAGAGGAGCCTTAGGGGAGCAAAACCGCCCACCCAGAGTTTTCTCTGAGGCTAGGAAGCTCCCAAAACGAAGCTTGGGGGGGGGGTGCTTCATGCCCCTCCCATGCTCTATTCCTTTTCTTCCTGAGCCTTAGAGGAGCTTTAGGGGAGCAAAAACGTCCCCCCTGAGGCTCTTCTGTGGCTAAGAAGCTCCCAAAAATGTGTGGGGGCTACAAAAAAGCCACGCCCACCCAGTCACATGGCCACGCCCACCAACCCACGCCCACAGAACCAGTAGTAAAAGTTTTTGAATCCCACCTCTGCTCAACATCCTTCTTACATTGGATCGCAAACTATTGAACCAGATCAGAACCAAGAACAACAGTTGCAGTTATGTAGATGTAGCCTTCAAACCCCAATCCAAGATCGCAGGCAAAACAGGAGCCTCAATACTTTTAATTCCCTGACACTCATAGCCAGATATTATTTCTCTTCATTGTGTCCCTGTATGTGGCATTGTTGCAGAGAACTTACACAAACAAAACAAACTTTACAAGAATAATAACATCTTTGGAAATGATCCTTTCCTCAAAAACCAGACATTAGGAACTTTATTATTTACTTAGACTCTATTTAACCTCAAGAATTCACCTGAAGGTAATAATCAGGCAACCCAAAACTGACAAATAAAAGTTAACGACTTCCATGAATGCCCACAAAAGAAATGTAACACTCAAACATCCCATGCTCTTAGCAAAAATGAATTTGTAGTACAGAAGGGAAAATTCCAAATTTACAGATATTATAAACAAAAAGTTCCTAATGCAACCAGGATCTGTATGCTGACTTTCTATATGACCCCATTATTCGTTCCATCTCTGTCACTCTGAGGGCAGCCACCCAGGGGTGGGATTCTCTCTTTCTTTCTCTTTCCCTCTCTTTCTTTCTCCCCCTCCTCTCTTCCCCCCCTCTTTCACTCACACACAAACACAAACACAAACACACACACAAACACACACACACACACCTGGTTTGGAACGAACAGCTCCATTCAGCAGCGGGTGAGGAAGAAAGGGTGGAGGAGGGGGTGGTGCGCAACTGCAACGGAACCTTGAGCTGCCTTTTGAAAAACAAAAGTTGCCTTTTGAAAAACATTTTTAGGACAATATTGTAAGAATTTTGGATTGAATAAAGCAAAATAGGTTTTAGTTATTTCCTCATTCCTGTTAGTATGGATGGTTGCTTGTACTTTTAAATTCTGTTCACAGTTTCTCTGTGTATTGTAAATAATTTTAACCATTGTTCTTATTAAAATAAGCTTGAAAATGCTAAAAAATTAAAAAACACAGATATAAACTCAATCCTTGGGTGAATGCCATGTTTTATTCTCTTCCATTGTAAGAACTCATTTTCTATTCTTTATGTCATCTGTTTTTCAAACAGCTTGTAAACCATAAATGGCATTTTCTTTTATGTTAGAACTGCTAGATTAGCTCTGATACAAGCTTGGTGACAGTCTAAGAAATCAGATTGTCATATCTTTTGGATCACACCTTGCCCACTACTTATTAAACACTTAGACTTATTTTTGATGAAGCTATGTTGAATATTCTTCAGCAACAGTTGCTCATTTATATGTTTGAAAATTATCTTTAATAAAAATTTCCATTAATTTATAGGAACAGATGTTAGATTAATTACCTTCCAAATATATCTTTAGTACCATTGGCCACTTTACAGTTTTCAGTCTCTAAAGATAAAGTTAAGGCCTATATCATGTGTGTTTGTGTGTGTGTGTGTGTGTGTGCATGTGTAAAAACAGATACCATCTGGATCCATTAATTTGCTTATCTCTATAAGGACTAGGACCAATATCAATGCTACAGATTTATTTGCTTGCAACACAATCTCTGTTTTCTCTTTTAATACTCTTTTTCTGTAATGCTTTCTTGCTACCGATCACAATGTTGATTGCTGCCAATATTCATTGCTTCTGGTGTCCTTGAATGACTCAGAAAATAAACTTTCTGAGAAAATGGTTGCAGTTAAATATATTTTGCAAACTAGTTTCCTGTTTTTTGAAGTATACCAGATGGGCTAGTTTTAGGCCATCATTTTTTCTTTCCACAAAAGTATTTCAATCATTTTTCTACCTTGTACATAAGAATAAAAATAGAAGAAGATGAGCACTAAGGCATTCTCCTTCCCTTTCTTCTTTGTGGGTTTATTGATAGGAAAAGCAAAGTAATTGAAATCAAGTAGTTCTTTTTAATATTTTAAGAAGAGAAATCTATTACTTCTGTTCATCACTATGCATGTTTTTGTTTGTCTAGAAAACAGATTTGAACATTTTGTAAAAACAAAATTTAAATAGTGTTTGCTCAATTGAATTTATATGAAGAAAATGACCTCTTTCTATTATTAATTTTTCCACCATGCTTCTATAGTAGGGCTTAGATTTAGACATTATCTTAGACCAGGGGTCTGCAACCTTAAACAAAGAGGCATTGGGACCCATTTCCCACAGAAAAGAAAACACTGGGAGCCAATAATTTAACAACTGGTGTGACTGAGTAGGCATGGCCAACTCGACATCACTTATGCTGTGTCCGCAGACTGACAAGTCTTCTCTCTGGTCCGCCGCCTGCACGGGAGCGCTGATCGCTCCCATTGGCTGATGCCGTTTGACAGCCGGCTATAAAAGAAACTGTCAATCGGTATCAGCTGTCACCGCCAGCTGACTGCCAGTTAGCCTCGGCAGCCGCGGCGACCCTTTATTCAATAGAATAAAGCCTGTTAACTTTGAGCCTGTGTCTTGTCTCTATCTTCACCGCCGCTCCACAACACTGGCGACGAGGGCGGGATTCGATAAGAGACAACCAGGCAAAGACAGCTGAGCACAGTCACTGTCAAAAAGAGCCGAAGCCGCCAAGAGCTGAATACGTCACCGCCGCTGACGCTCTCCACGAGCACGAAGTTCAAACTCCCAGCTGGGGAGTCTGACGCTGCCTGACAGGCACAGACGCGAGCGCCTTTTTAAAGGCGCGAATTTAAAGCTTCCTCAGCTGAGGAAATCAGCACCGCCGCTTCCAAGATGGGCACAAACCCGACATTCCCTCCCTTCCAGCCGACGGGCGAGACGTGGGAGTCGTATATGAACCGGTTTGAGTGTTTCCTAAATGCTATCGACCTGACAGAAGCCACTGACCTGAGGAAAAGATCCTATTTTCTGAGTTTCTGTGGGGCTGCAGTCTTTGATACAGCCTCAGCTTTAGTGTCCCCATGCTCTGTGAAGGCTACTCCCTGGGAGGAGTTGCAGGGAATTCTATCTAACCACTACTCCCCCAAACCCTCTCAAATAGCTAGGAGACTAGCTTTTAGAAGGAGAGTTCAGGCTGAAGGAGAGACTGTTAGTCAGTATATGGCAGCCTTAAGATCAGCTGCCATACACTGTGGATTTAGGGATTACCTGGAAGACATGTTGCTTGACCAAATTGTAGGAGGGGTTAGAGACCTTAAACTACAGAGGCGTTTACTAGCAAAAAAGGATTTAACCCTAAGCCTGGCCATTGAAGAAACTCAGGCTGCTGAGCTATCAGAGCTGTCAGCAGCTGAGATTCAGGGAAACCCCATAAAGCAAGGGAGCTCTGCCATTCACTTTGATGAGGTATCCCTAGAAGAGGAACCACTTGAGGTAAACCGCCTCAGACTGCCAAGCCCCCCCCAGAGGTGCCTAGAAGAAACGCCAACCCAACAGCCAGACAGCAACCTAATTGTCTGAGCTGTGGGGGGGGGGGGGGGCCTCCCCGGGCCACCCGCAGATTCAGAAACGCCATCTGCCTAAACTGCCAGAAAAAAGGCCACATAGCTAGGGTTTGCTAGGTTGAAAAAACCTTCTCACAAAGACCTCAAGCTGCTGCCTCCTTCCAAAGGCAAGCTGAAGATTGCTATACCTGTTACCACTCAGACAACACCACCCCTGGGTCTAACAAAATAAGCATTTTTGTCTTTCTAGAAGGTAAACCCTGTCAGATGGAGGTGGACACCGGGTCTGCCCTCTCAATCATCTCGTGGGCCACCCTGAAGAAGCTGCTCCCTACACTCTCCAAGAAGAAGCTGCTCAACTGCCACCTGACTCTTCGAGACTATCAGGGAAAGACCATTCCAGTCCTGGGGAAAGGCAAGTTCCTTATTCAATTCCAGAACTTTAGAGGCCACTTGCCTCTGGTGGTTGTAGATGGTGCCCTTCCCAGCTTGCTTGGGCTAGATTGGTTCCCTGCTCTGGGCCTTAGTGTAACTGGTATTCACTCTGTGGTGAATACTGAGGTAGGCACCCTTTTCAGGGACTACGCTGATGTCTT